TCCTAGACTGTCCCAGACTAATGATCCAGTCTGAACTTTAGCTTTAAGAGGAGTGAGAGTTTGAAGCTTAGTCTTCAAAGTAAACAGGGTGTCTGCTTCCCAAAGCCAAAGTGGGAGCTGGCTCTACTTCTCTTTCTATTTTAGGAAACCCTTACTCTAGACAATCCTTTTGATTTCACCAGATGTGTTCAGCAGCATCTCTCCACTCTGATATGCTGAAAGGAAAAAGTACTTTTACCACATGAATCAGGTGGGTGTCATGCATGCTCATACACACCACAATTGCAAACTTCAGCCACAGTCCTCACCCACATCAGCTGGTAGCTCAGCATGTTTTTAACTGCTTCAGCCTGCCCGCAGTTGCTTTGATGTGCAAGCTGCTTTGCAGCCCAGCTTCACCTTTCATGGTGCATCTGACTTCATCAAAGTGATATGTCTTCACTGATGTCTGCTCTGCCCTGTGCTGGGTCTTTATCTTACTCTCCCTGCCTATTGCTGATGTGCATTTAAGGATATGTGCTCTAATGTCGTTTTATTTCTAATTGTTAAAGTTCATAGATTATTTTAATGTTATAAATAAACCCTTTTGAATTGTCTATTCAGAAGGGTTCATAACCGTTTTCCTGTAACTCCATAATGAAGCTAAGAAGCAGGTCACTATGGCTATTGTGTGCAAGAAACTTTTTAACTCTTTTCTCCTTGAAAGGAACCCTTGAAGCTCTTTTCTGTCTTGTTTCAGTCCCTGTTCCTGCTAGTACGCTTGCTGGAACATTTTAGGTGATTGAAGGCTTCTCAGAGTGCAGCTGGAGCTTCTTAGGACCGAAGGAATTGAACAAAAGTCCAGCCTACGAATGACTGATGTCCTTAATTTAGACAGTATTGTGCAGGTGAAAGGAGGCAGTGGTGGAGACGGAGACTGGAGTCACACTGAATGTTGAACTGAAACATTGAAGTCGAACCTGCTGAAAAAACAATCTAAAATCTGTGGGAGGAGTTAAAGTGTGTGTGTGTGTGTGTGTGTGTGTGTGCTTGTGTGTGTCTGTGTGTTTGTGTAAGCGACATAAAGAGATAAAGAGTGGTTGTGTGCTAGCTAGTTACTAACTTATTGTGTGTACATACTGTAAGTCCTATTTATACTTATTTAATCCCAGCTGTGCCTTCACTCTTGCAGCTAGGTGGCGCTGTCTGTTCTGACAGCAGCCTTATTGATCACGTATCCCCCTGCTCATTGGGAAAATAAATCAGTTTAAATGCTTAACTTGTATTGAACCAGGGAAGGAAAAACAACAATAGCAACTTACACAAACCCTGACAATATGCCAGAAGAACCCACCCCCACCAAACACAACAGAGTAAAGCCACAAACCCTGAGCACAAACAGCACGTACCACACTGTGCTCGGCTGCTGTTTCAGGTCACAGATTGTGGCGATTGTAGCTTCCTGTTTTTCTCTGCTTGGCGTGTATGTCCCCCAGCATTTCTGCTGAGTTGCAACTGTTAAAAATGTTTTTTATCATTAGGTGGACGCAGTGTACTTCAAGAACGAAGCTACGAGTAACTTGAAACACTGGTCCAGGTGTTGTGCCACGGTTGTTACCGGCTGCTGCCACATCCATTGTTATGGTAGCCGTTTTCATCTACTTTAGATCTGCTGAGCTACACGTGACAGGTGTTAGTTTACAGCTCTGATATCAGATCTGCCCGAATCGAATGAGTGAAGTTTAAGAGATCGAAGGCTCATTTTTATTACCATTACCCAACACACGGTGGTAAAAGGAAATTGTAGACGTAGCTGCTGCATGCTACTAATGAAAAAAGGATGGGCGATGAATTCAGCAGCATCGCAGCCTGAAGAAAAGAAAAAAAAGGAAGAAAAGAAAGAAATCTGGTGGTGCACCGCTGGATCCTCCTGCATTGCTTGGCAGATGGCAGCAGGGTGAACAGGCTGTGGATGGGGTGGGTTTTATCTGTGCATGTATCTCACCAGTATCACTTTTACTGGGTAGATGGATGCTGCTGATGCCCTGCGTGGTTTTAATCACCAACCACAGAGCTTTCAGGTCTTGGGCTGTTCACATCCAGTACCACATTTTAAATCTATGGATGCTTTCTCGTTCTCATCAGTATTGTAATGTTTATAGCACAAAAACGGTCGGAGCCCTCGAGGATCCGGACTCACTGCACATACCGGGATTAAAGGGTCGTGTAAATTCCAGATCCCGGTTTAAAGAGTCGACATCTCTCGGGATATTTGGATTCTGCTCGACGTCACAGCTGGGTCTTCAAGGCAGCCATGATGTTTCAGCTGTTAGTGTGTCGTCTTGGTCTTTGTGGATGGCGTTGACGACACTGGGTGCGTGCCCCCGGTGTTTATGGCCTCTGGCTGGACTGAACCTAGCAGGTGGACTCTGATGATGGTCCCTGCTACTGAACTGAACCAAACCAGAGACCTGAACCAGATTTTGCTGACCCAGTTCTTCCTGCTGGACTTTTCTTCTTCTTCTATTTCTGACTCTGTGTTTTGCTTGTGTGCTTTTTGAGCCTGTGTTTGACCCGTAGTTGTAGTTCTTCGGTCACAATAGATTTCTGCATGCGTGTGTTGATGATGATGATGATGCAGATTTATGGTGCTTCTTCAGTATAATTTTCTTTCTTTTGTTTTAAAGGTGAGGGGCGGGGCTTAAAACCTGCCTTGTCAGTGATGATGCGCATGTCACCTGATCTCTGTACAGTTTGATCCTCAGCTCTAATTGGTTGAGCTCTGTTTGTTACGAAATTGTTTTTTTTTCTACTATAAGGGAATAAAAAATAAATAAAAGAAACTTTAAGGGTTTGTATAAAAGAACTCCAGGATCAGTTGTTTCTACTGACTGTGTACAGTTTGCTAACAGTGTGTAAATGTGCCTGTAAATACCTGTCTGAGGATGATGATGATGATGATTCAGTCTGCAATGGAAATGTGCTTTTATTGTGAAAAGGCAGGAGGCCAAACACAATTTGTATCATGTAAAAATAAAGTTATAATTTTAACAGTTCTCAGCTGTGCTGTGGCATCTCAAACTTCAGTTCTGATGTCATGATGACATCATTTCTCATGGCATCATCATGAGAAGTCTGGATTTTCTGTTTCCTGGGGGGCGCTAGCGAGCGATAACGAGGCCCTCTGGACCTGTAGCATAAAACATTTTTCCTTCTGGATTATTTTTATCATGTTTTTGACGCCAGAGGTGAGACAATATGTTTGGATCTTTTTATGAATTGTAATAAATCACCTTTCTTTAGCTCCTAGGGTTGTCACAGCCCCATGGCCCACTTTATAGCATCAACCATTTTGATTTCAGACCATTGAATGAGCAGCAGCAGAGATGTTGGTGTTGGAAAAGTCACAAACTTTTGCCTTCTCTCTCTCCTGTAGTTTGTGTTTTGCCCTTGGTCTCCCTCTGCTCCAAAGAGAAGGAAAGAATAGTCAGGACAACAGGCCTTTTACAACATGAAACCTTCTTCATCTCTTTCATTTTCAAGCTTTTCAAATAAGATATGAAGTTCATGCATAAGTTCAACAAGAACAATCTGTAATATTAACTCATCTGCTTGCTTTCCTGGATGTTGAGCTGCTAGTCACTACCATTTCCCCATGCTGTCAAACTCAGTACTGGCATCATTACACCAGTCCAGGCATCTTCTTGCCGCCTTCTTTGACCCAGTCAGCCGCCACTCTGCATGCTTTGAAGAAGAGCACTGAGATACATTCTCCCTTTCAGACTCTCCTTCCCATCTTCACCTCACCCGAGTTACTCACTCCATCCAAGCCTTCATCTTAATCTTCACCACCATCAGGACCTAAACTACGGGGGTCCTGCCCTAAATCCTGTCCCCGCTGGGATTTCATTCTGCCATGATGGGTCATCAGAGTCCAGTGGCCAAATAGATGAATTAATTTCTCTGTCTCAATAGATTTTGTTCAGTTCTTCCGAATGATCTCTCCATATTGAAATAATATCTGGCACAGCTGCAGTGTGCATCATTTATTGTTATATTATTGCCTTATTACAGCTGCTTTTATGATCTCAGTTGTAACGGAGATTATGGTAACATATATTACAATATTTCATATTGAACCTTTATTTAAATCCATAATAAGGCAACGTGACAAGATAGCATACCTTTCAGTTAAACAAAGGGCAGTAAGAATGTGTGATCATTCTTGCTGATCAAAAATATTTGAAACTACTTCTAGAGAAAAATACTTAATATTCCAGCTGTGTGTGTGTGTTGGCTCTTATATGTGCATCATATGGCAAACCACCTCTGACGTCCAGATGCACTTCTTGAACTTGAGCATGGCTCACAGAGATCAATTTTCCGTCGATGAGACAAAAAATGTGAGAAATGACGAAAGCCCTTTGATGAATGTAAGCATTTTGTGTGCACAAAACCCACAATATACAAGTTCTTGAGCTGAATGCATCTGGAATCTGCCTCAGCATCAGCTGTGCTGCAGCATATGCTGGAGGAAAATGAAGCCTGCCATCCTCCTATGATTACAGATAGTGAATTAACCACATCCCAGCACACATAGGAGAAGTTTGCCTTCAGCACTTTATGACAGCAAGAAGAAGAAGAAAAGCTTTCTGACAGATATTCTTTCTAAGCTTGCCTAACATTGTGACAGGGTCTATTTTAACAGAAACCACAGCCAAGGAGTTTTGTGGCTTAAACCTAAACGGTGAATGCTGTGCATATATTCCACCGTTTAATCTCAGCAGTCCTGCAAAGTGCTTAACAATGTGTCTCGCATTCACCCACTGACAGGAATGCCATGAGAAAGCAGCATTGTGCTCAAGGACACACACTAATAAATAAATAGAAATAGTAACTATGTATACATGTATCCTATCCTGGTCTCCCAGGTGTTACCCAACATCAGCATCAGCAGCAGATTCAGCTTACTTCCTCTGACTTCTCTGACGTCATTTTTGCACATCAACAATAAGAAGCTGCACTGGGTTGTTGCTGTTTTGTTATCACAGACACCCTAAATTACCTTCTAGATGCGCCACTGCTCCCAGTTTAGCTCGTGGCCGGTCACTGCGCATGCGTAAAGCCCGGTGTCCGGTGTCAGGCTGTCAGCAGCTGTTGAGTCCATGAACGGCAAGACCGAGACAGCGAATTAAACACACCCAAATAAAGCGTGCGGACCAGGTTCTGGACCGGCTCAGAGACGAACAGGTCGGGGCGGATTCAGCAGGACCAGCTGGTGATCTGCAGCTGGAGCTAACAGGCTAACTGACAGCGGACCGACAGCTCTTATCTAACGGGCTAACGGACAGGCCAGCGGCTCGTGGTAACCACGCTGCACCGTGCGGATCCACCTCGACCCGATCTAATTTTTGGACTTTCGGAACCTCCTGCAGCCGCATTGTTTACGCAGTCCAGCGGCTGTTTTTTTTGTGAAGCTCGACCGGGTCGAGGACGCTCGAGAGCCGTCAGAGCACGTCAGCCCGGACGGGATAGACGCTCTCTGACCGGTTCGGATTGGGGACCGGGAGCCGAGATGCTGATAGGTAAAGTAGACTGGATTTAGTTCGGTGTTCCGGCTCGATACAGTTGGAGTCAACGCTAACATGTTAAGCTAGCTCGCATCAGCTTGAGGTACCAGGCTGTGACACACACGGACTGGGGTTTCGGGTTCCGCCAACTTCAATGCCAGACTCCATTCGAAAAATGTTGCATTTAATGGGTTTTGCCTCTTTATCAGATAACTGTCGAATTCGCTGACCTGACTTAAGTCTCAATTTAAATAAAAACGTCTGCTGATAAATTCGGCACACGATTGAGCCTCCAGGTGACACTTCATTAACTCAAATCTCTAATATATTTCATGATTGTCGCCTCTGCACCACCCCATCCCGGGTTCAGGGTTATGGAGAACAGGATCTTTGGCGTTATGGTTTTCGGTCATAAACGTGCAATCTTGTGTTATGTGTTTTCAGGTCGTACTGTAGGGTTGTGTCAGGTTACCATCATCTGGTGATGTTTTCTGTTTTAATAGTTGTGTTGGTGCTGCACAACTATTAAAGATCCCAAATTTAAGAGTTTTATGAATGGTGTCTGGTTCGTGTTCTGCTGTTTTGTCGTGAATCTAGGGAATATATGCATGACAGCTGGTTACAATGTGTTGGATATTTGTAGCAGTGATGTGTGTGCACTGTTTTCTTGTATTTTATTAATTAGTATCAAACATCAGAATAAACATATAACATGTAATCTGGCAGTTTTACATCTTTATGCAAATTAAACTGTACAACATACAAAAGATTACTTTTTGTGAAATGCTGGTAACATAATGCTAATCTAAATTATCTAATATTTATGGAACAGACTTATCAGAGTTTTATGTTAGTGTTATTTTAAAGTATTTTGATTATTTATTTATGATGATTTTTTTTAACAGGAAGGCTCACATCACTGGATTTCCACATTTTTAATGGTGTTTGTTATGTGATTGAACCTTGTGTTAATGATGTATTTTAAAGACGTTGTTCCTCCTCTCAGCAGCAGTCGGTGCCGGATCCGGAAACCCTGCCGGCACGGGCAAGAAACACCGCCGCAGAGGCAAGAAACACCGGAGAATCCGAGCCGAAGAGAACCGGTAAGAAACCAGCAGAGACTGTAGACAGGATCAGCTGCTTACCCCATACACAAACTCACAGGCTAAATTTAGAGGCGTGTCTTAATGTGAGTGCATGTGGGTGCACTCCAAGAAAATTGGTTTTAACTTCCTGTGTGTCACCTCCATTCATTTAGAGCATTGATTTTTACTCCTTAATCTGATTTCCTGATCGTATCATATTAACAAGTTCTGAAACGTTTGAGCTCATTTATCTTATCAAAGAATCATCTCTGGTGTCTTAATGAGCTTTCATTTTTTCTAATTTGTGTAACTTTAAAGTTCAAGATTGCTTCATGTTATATTTTTCTTTAATATCACAGAAACACATTAGAACCAACCTGTTCATTTTCCCCTTGCCTGAACTTAACCAGCATCTTCAGCTGTGGGGAAATCTTTTTAGATTTTCTTTATTTCTGCATGAAAGTGACGTTATACAAGTCCTAAAACTAGACAAAAATAACCTAACTAAATGGATAAAATGTAAATATTGTCATTTGTTGTTGATTTATTTTCAGAAAATGACTCAGTATTATTTATCTGTGAGGGGAAGGTGAAAGTGTGTGAAGGATTAGCCGTAGATTTGAAGATGAACTTGTTATCAGATGTTTTTTATTCAGTGGGATTGCAATCAGGTGTGAGCAATCCTCACTTTGTCCCTTGCAGGTCATAGATCTATCAAAGTGTGGTTATCATAACCCATGTTAATGTTCATAAGCGTGTCATCTAGGGCTGCCACAAACGATTATTTTGATAGTCGACTAGTCACCGATTATTTTTGCGATTAGTCGACTAATCAGATCATCATCCATTGGACGTACAGCTTATTGCACCAGCAGCATCTGGTCTTATATAACTATCATTAGCTTACAGCTTGAAGTGTTTGTGCTAACTAAAAATAAAGACAAGATGGTAGTTTATTAATTTTTAATGAAATTTGCAGATTGTTTCGGTGAAGTTTAATAAACTCCTTGCTTTCTAAAATATAACAGGACACCGGAGTATATTCTCCAGCGTCTCACACTTCTGATAATCAGCTGTCTGCTTGACAGTTTTAGCTGTGCAAAAACTATACCTTTAATCTCAGCCAAACCGATTTACTCAGGAACAAATAAAATACTAAAGAAAGCCAAACAATAACATTTTTAAGTTATCTAAGTGACTTATATATATGTTTAACCTGACTAGCGAAAGACGGCGGTGGGTTTGAAAACGATTTGCCGGGAGTCCGGTGTTCTCACGGCTCTAGTTAGCCTAGCCCCCGGTTAGCTAACGAGCTAGTGGGTAACAGACGTCTCCGAAAACGTCGGAGCGCTTTTGAAAATATGTGGTGTCTTGATAAACTGAGCAGATATTTGAGGTTTACACAGCTACATTCTCGCCTGAAAATATGTTAAACGTTTATTTTGTGACCCAGAAAGAATAATAAGAGTAAAGTTAAAACTAACTAGCTGCCGCCATTGTTGACAACTGCGCTGGGCTGCGCTATGAATTCTGGGACACAGCTTCTTCTTCTTCGGGGTTTAACGGCAGCTGGCATCCTTGGACATGCAGTGCTGCCATCTTCTGTTTCAGTCCGTTATTACACTCTTAAATCCTACTACTCATTCCTGCGTCCTTTGTGATCTTACAAAGCTTCAAACGATGTGTCGACTATTAAATTAGTCGTCGACGATTTTAATAGTCGATATAATCGTGACTAGTCGACTAATCGTGGCAGCCCTAGTGTCATCACTGTACAACGTCGGTGCACATTCTCCACACATTATGTGGAGGAAACAGAAGGCTGTTTGAGCAGTGCTTTGTAAGTGGATGAGCCTGTTACAGAACTTTTTAGGTTTAACTTTGAAGCATCATCTGTAGAAAAAGGAAAACACTGCATTTCAGCATACGAACCTAATCCCATCTGTGAAACATGGTGGCAGTAGTACATGGTTTGGGCTTGTTTTCTCAATCATGTCAGCAAACTTCGAAGGATAATTTCAGGAAACCTGAAATAGGAGAAAGTCGATCATGCACCAAGAAAATAAGCATCAGCATACACACTGTTAGTGCAAAGAATGATCAGAGAATAATGGAGATGGCCGTGAAATAGTCTGAAGTGAGGCGTTCACGTCAGTTTCATGAGCTAAAGTTTGGACTAAAAACTCCTGCAAGCCGGTGTGCAGGACTAATCAAGAGTTATGTTTAGTTGTAGTTATCGCAGCATCGATGGGTTTGCACCAGTTACTGAAGCACAGGTTAATATTGTCTCCCTTTTATTTTTATGTAAATAAATCAACAGCTAAGACCAATATTTATGTTGAATTTGGTTAATATGGTTCTTATTTCTACCTCTATGACATGTTTGTGCAGAAATATAGAAAACTGCAGATCAGCTGTACCAGAGTAAAGCTCTGAGTGCACAGACAGCCTTTTTTTTTTTTTGCACTTTTGTCATCTGTTTTTTCTTGTTTTGTTTTGTTTTTTTTACAGAAAATAAATCTTTTGAATCTCTGCGTTGATGGTATTTGAAATCCATCACAAAAACAGCCTCGGCACACTCTTTTTCTTTTTTCCCCTCTGCTCTGCTCTCGCGGTGCTCTTAGACCATCTCTGGGAACACTTCTGTGCTCTTCACTGGCACCTCTCTCTCACGACCACTTAAATTCAAGAAAGGTCGTGACTTACAGTATCAACACTGTAGTTAAGGATAGAGAAGAAAAATTTAAAGAAGATGGTTTTTGTAACCTAGCAACAACAATCTCTCTCGCTGTGGACATGGACCCTAACAAAATGAGTGCAACATCTGCACCTGAGTGTTTCTGTTCTGCTAATATCCAGCTGTTTATGTTTATGCAGTTTAAGAAGCCCCCTCAGTCCTCATGTCTAAATGTGGTCTTTTAGCTCCTGTCTCTTGCCCAAAAGCCCATTTTCTTCTGATTGGCCAACTCCAGGAAGCCTGCTGAGAGGCGGTACTCGTAGTTATCAGGGGTACTCACTGATATCTCACAGTGTATGATAGTCATTGTCATTGATCATGGAACCATACGTTACAAACTGGGCATCAGGTTGCGTTTAGTGAGACTTCTGTTGAGTCGACCCCTGCTGGTCGTTAGAAAGAATGCAGGTGAAAGTACTTTACCTTTTCACACTGAGGCTATCGAGTCACTGGCTGTTTTGGAGACTACACAGAGCCTCGTTCACATGGCCTCCCAACCATTTACCTTTGACTTTATGCCTCTGCAGGTTTAAACTGAAGAACAGCTACCACGTCAAATGTTTAGTATTTTTACTCCTGAGCTGTAAAATGCTGACGAGGTGTTGTTGTCACCGTCCGGGGCAGGCAGCCGGTGTTGATACCCAAGTTTGTGAATGTGATAACTAAAAAACGAGGTGACGTAGTAGCACCTTAGGTGTATCTGCTAAAAATCTCAAAGGAGTTCAAATCTCAGTGATCTTGAACTCGAGGTCAAGTTTTCTGAATATCTTGTGAATGTAATAACTCTATAACAAGGTGATGTATCATTTAGAAATCGATACCATAGGTGTGTCTACACAGAGGCTGAGGGGTAGCACTGGCGGTTGGCAGTAGTTTAAATATTTGACAGGGACAAACAAAGTTTTTACTTGTGCACAGAAGGGGAAAGTCTCTGTGGAGCCATCCAGCCTGCTGTCTGCTATCTGCTACCTGGGTCTGATTGAAAATGAGTTGATTAGTAGGTGCTGATTTCCATGCGAAGTATTTGGAGTGATGGAGAACAAGCTCAAGTTTTTCAAAGTTTGCTGGTAGCTTTGGTTTTTCAGGTAACTGAAGAAACAGTAATACAGACGTTAAGACGAAGCAGATGTCTCCTTTCATGGTTCATGGTTGGCATTGCACTGGCTGAGTAATGACCTTTAATTTTCCATGACTAAAGAGCTGCCTGCCAGACCGAAGTGAGGGCATCAACACATGTGACAGTTAACTCAATCAGACTGGGTATTTACTGAGTTTAACTGCCCACGAATGAGGACTGACAGATTTCCAGTGAAAGTTTTGAGCTGTGAGTCTTGTCGATAAACAGCTCGTCACATAACGACACACAAAATGTCAGCGAAACAGCTAGCCTGCTGCAGGCTTCCTGCTAAGCTAGCTGCTGTCCCGCTGACAGAAACAGGTTTGGTCTCAGCCTGAAGACACTCAGATCCAATAATAGAACCGGAGACTGAATTATGATCCCACAACACACACACACACACACACACACGTGCGCACTTCAGTCTATTTCAGTACAGCTCAGGCAAACTTCAACAATGTCCATGACTCAGATATGATGGAAAGCCGCTCTGTGTGTGTGTGTCTGTGTGTTTGTGTTATTTGATCTCTGCAGGTTGTCTGTGTCCAGAATGAGATAATTACTGAGCTTGTAACAGTCCACAGAGCTAAGGGTTTAGTCTTTTTGTTTGTTTGTTTTTGTTTTCAAAAGTTTTTAAAATTATTTTTACAGAAACAAACAAAACAAACTGCTTGTCTGATTCCACCCACAGCAGTTTGTACACCAGCAAACA